CGCGTGGTGGACCTGCGCAGCGACACGGTGAGCCGGCCCAGCGCGGGGATGCGCCGCGCCATGGCCCGCGCCGCGCTCGGCGACGACGACTACGGCGAGGACCCCACGGTGAACGGTGAGTGCGGGGCGCCCCCCCGGGCCGGCAGCCGGGAGCGCCGGCAGCCGCCGTCCCGCGCGGCTCCCGCTGCCGCCGCCGTCCCGGGGCTCCCGAGGGCCCCTCCAGCCGGTACCCACGTCCTGCAGAGCTCCAGCAAGCGGCCGCCCAGCTGCTGGGGACGGAGGCCGCGCTGTTCGTGCCCACCGCCACCATGGCCAACCTCATTGCGGGTGAGCGAACCGCGCCGCCGACCTTCGCCCAGGACATGCCATGCGGGCAGCGAGCGCGTGCGGAGCCGCCGGTCAGTGGGCTCCGTTCCAGCTGCAGCCGCTGCGCGCGGGGCTGGGGGAACGGCAGCTCCCGGCCTCACATGCCTACCTGAGACCCCCCCATGTCCGACCCACTGCGGCGCAGCAAGGAGGGGGCACGCGAACAGGGCAAGAACAGGGCCCCGTCGCACTGCCCCTCCTCACTGCCCTGCCTGTGCTAGTGATGTGCCACTGCCCGCGGCGCGGCGCCCAGCTGCTGCTGGGACGGGACGCCCACCTGCACGTCTACGAGCAGGGCGGCGCCGCACAGGTGGGTGCTGGCGCTTCCCGACCCGCACCCCTCCGCGTGCTGCACTGGGAGTGCAGGCAGCCGCGGGGCTGAGGGCAGCTCCCCGTGGGCTGCAGCACCCCCAGGGCTCTGGCCCCACTCGCACACCCAGGGCTCCCCGCACAGGTGGCCGGGGTTCACTCCCAGGCCCTGCCGGAGCTGCCAGACGGCACCCTGGACCTGGAGCAGCTGGAGTTCACCATCCGCCAGGCCCACGGCAGCCGCTACCACCCGCGGCCCGAGCTCGTGTGCCTGGAGAACACGCACAGCTCTGCGGGCGGCCGCGCGCTGCCCCTCTCCTACCTGCAGCAGGTGGGAGCCACGGGCAGGGGCTGCCCCGGCGCCGGGCAGGGCGGCCGGGCGCGTGCGGCAGCCCTTGCGGGCCCGGCCGCAGCTCCGCCAGCCCGGCTGCTGCTCTTCCCGGCCAGGTGCGCCGGCTCACTGGGCGCTACGGGCTGCGGGTGCACATGGACGGCGCGCGGCTGCTGAACGCCGCGGTGGCCCAGGGCGTGCAGCCCGCACACATCGCCCAGCACTGCGACTCCGTGTCCCTGTGCTTCTCCAAGGTGTGGCCCGCCGGGCGCAGCCTTTGCTCGGGGCAGAGGGCTCACCGGCGGGACGGGGAGGGGAACGGGGAGAGCCCCCAGGAGGCGGCTGCACCCCGTGCGGCTCAGCGGCGCCTCCGGCCTCCGCAGGGCCTGGGCGCGCCGGCCGGAGCGGTGCTCGCCGGGCGCAGGGAGCTCGTGTCCGAGGCCTGGCGCATGCGGAAGCTGCTGGGGGGTGGCCTGCGGCAGGCCGGCGTGCTGGCGGCGGCTGCACACATGGGGCTGCAGCGCGCGGGGACCACGCTGCGTCGCGACCACCGCAACGCCCGCCGCTTTGCACAAGGTACCCGGCCCCGCGCCCGGCTGCAGAGCCCCCTGCACAGGGTGGTATGTGATGCAGGGCAGCTCCGTGCCTGGATGTGCAGGAGCAGGACTGCTCCATGACTGGATGTACAGGATGCAGGACTCCTCCGCACCCAGGGAGCCCTGTCCCTTCTTCCAGCCCTGGGCTGGCTCCCGCCACCCCTTCTAGCCCAGAGTGCCTTGTGCTGGATCCCGGCCCAACGTCCCGTGTCCCCCCAGGTGTCCAGGAGCTGGACTCACCCCTCTGCTCTGTCGACCTCGCGGCAGTGGAGACCAACATCGTGATGGTGGCCCTGAAGGGGTCCTGGCCGTCCCCCGCGGAGCTGTGCGCGCGCATGCAGGCGGTGAGCGAGGAGGAGGTGGCCGAGACAGGCCACGCGGTCAGCGTGCTGCTCTTCCCCTGGTCATCGCACTCGCTGCGCGCCGTCTGGCACTGCGACGTCTCCGACCGCGACACCGAGCTGGCAACCAACAAGATGCGCTTCGTGCTGAGGAAGTGCCAGGAGCGGCTGGAACAGGACCCTGCTCCTGGCAGCCCCGTGGGCGCAGCCGAGACGTGAGCGCCCGGCACCAAGCAAGGGGCTGGGACAGGCCGGAGCACCCAGAACATCCCGAGGGACCGCAGCCCCCGCGGCCCCGCGCAGCTCCCGCTCTTGCCGTGGGACATTGGGGATCTCAATAAAGACCTGCATCCCCAAGGAGATCTGTACCCAAGCAGCACTTGTTCCTATTTAATTTCACATCTGCAATAAGCTATTTCAAGGAAGCCGAGGGAGCAAGCTTAATCATCCAGAGGTCCTGCAGAGCTGCCACCCTGCTGCAAGACCCCCCAAAACCAGCAGCAGCCGAGGGTGCTGGTGCCAACTGCGGCTTTTCTGCCCTCCCCGGAGGGGAGGTGTCCACAGCGCAGGAGCAGAGCAGGAGCAGGGCACGTCCCATCTTGGCTCCCAAGGTGCAATCAGGCTCGTGAGATCATGTTCAGAATCACCTGTAATGAGGCACTGAACCCTGTGAACGGTGCCCGTCCGCAGAGGAGACGGACGGCGCCGGAGCCCCGCGCTCACCTGCGTCAGGATGTAGGTGTCCTGCGAGAGCCTCTCGATGATGTCGAAGTGGTCGAGGCCGGCGAGGTCCAGCAGCGAGACGCTGCAGCCCGCCGAGCGCAGGGCCTGCGGGAGCGCAGGAGCGTGGGGCGGCTGCGCGAGGCCTTACTGGGACGTCCCGGCACCGCAGGTCCCGCCCCAGTGCCGCTGGTCCCGTGCTGGTGCTGCAGGTCCTGTGCCGGCGCCGCGGGTCCCGTGCCAGCCCCCGGGACCCCGTGCCCGCTCACCTGGCAGTACTCGCGCGACTGCCGCCGGAACTCGGGCGAGTCGTGCTGCGCCACGGCCAGCAGCACCTCGCATGCCGCGGGCACCGCGCCGCTCACGCACAGCACGGGGCTGTTCCTGCGGGCCACCTCCCTGGCGAGGGGACACCGCAGTGACACCGTCAGCCCTGCCGGGAGGCCCCACGGCCATGCGCTCGTCTGCGCGCTCTGCCCGTGCCCTGTCGCTGTCCCCAGCGTGCCGCACTCACTGGCTCATTTTGAGCTCCTCGTTCACGTAGGTGTTCAGAAGGGGCTCCAGGTCATAGATGCCACTCACCAGCATGGCTCCTGGCGGCAGAGACACTGGCGGGTGCGAGCAGCCCCGCTCCACGGGCCCTGCCCGCAGGAATGCACCTCCACCCCCGTGTCCCGCGTGTCCCATGAAGCCTCAGCCCCTGGAGCTGCCCGAGGGGCGCAGGCACCTGCACCCTGGGGGACCCGGCCTGAGGAGCCCGATCTTTTGTGCTGCTGCCGCGGGCTGAGGCCAGTCGCCCTGCGCAGCTCGGCACCCTGCTCGCTCGGCACAGGCGGCTGCGTTTGAGGAGCGATTCAGCAGTTCTCCCTCGGCCCTCTGCACAAATGGGTCCCGCTGCAGCGGCGCGGCCGGGTGCTGCAGGGAAGCCCTGGTGGAGCAGGACCCTCGGCCCCGTATCCCAGGAGCCCTGGGCTGCTTGGGAGAGGGGTGCACGGGCAGCACCCCGGCCCCCATCGCAGCGGGGCCTCCACCGGGCCCCAGCTACCTTTGATGTCCGGTGTCACTTCGTACTCGGCCCAGTCTGTGGCCAGCACCATGGCTGCCAGGTGAGCCCCTGCTGAGTGTCCGCACAGGTAAAGGCCGCTGTGGAGAGGGGCGGTGAGCGCAGGGACGCGAGCAGCTCCCGCCCGGGGACAGGAGCAGCTCGCGAGGCGCCGCGCGGGCGGCCCCTGCCCCCCGGGAAGCTGCTCCCGCACAGACGGCTGCGCAGCCCTTGGCGATGTCCAGGACTTGCCCGGCACGCGCTGCCACCGCGCAGAGGAACGCGTGTCACCGACGGGGGGGCCCGTCCTGAAGGGCAGGCGGCAGCAGGGGGTCCGCGCCACCCACCTGATGCCCGAGAAGCGCCGCACCAGGAAGACGAGGCTGCGCCGCACCTGGGCCACCATCTCGTCCATGTGTCCTGTGGGAGCGCCCTGAGTGGGACCGGCCCGGGCGAGCGGGCGCAGCCGCCGCGGCCACCGCCTACCTTGGGGAGCGATGCTGTAGCCCACGGCCGCGAGCGCGATGCCGCGTGACACCAGCGCGGGGGCCGCGAAGCCCGACACGTCCTTGCTGCCGAGCGGAGTCCGTGAGCACCGGGGGCGCCGGCGCCGCCGCACCGAGCGCCGCAGCCGTCCCGGGCCTGAGGCCGCTGTCCCCGTGGGCGGAAGGGAGCCCCGGGGCGGCCCCCTCACCTGAGGCACTGCCAGTAGCCGCCGTGGATGTAGACGAGGACGGGGAAGGCTGCGGGGGGACGCGGGTGAGCGGGCGGCGGCGGCGGGGCCTCCCCCGGTGCGCGCGGCGGCACCGACCTGCGCGCGGCTCGCGGGGCAGGTAGAGGTCGAGCTGCTCGCGCTCGCCGCCGCCGTAGGGCACGTGCAGCAGGGTGCGCGCGGCGGCGCGCGCGCCGC